GCAACATATGAATGTGAGTCATGGACTCCCTAGCAGTCGTTAAAGAAGAACATAATGGGCTGGCTTTTGAGCTGAAATGCTACATGAAGATTCTCTGAATACAGTGAACAAAGAAGAAAAGAAATAATTACATCTGAAAAGATCCTAACATCAAGGAAGATTGGCTGGTAAATAGAATCTTGTCTCGAAATCTGAAATATTTTGGCGCCATACCAAGCATCACGGTGGATTGTAAAAAAAAAAATAAAAGCAGAAAGCATGGTACCAGGGGCCAGCCAGCAAAAAGAAGGGCACAGGATATAACTGACACTTCGGAGAGAAAAGTGTACGATGCGGGAGAGCTGCCGAGAGGCAAAGTTTCGTTCGGGCAGACCGTGATGAGAGCAATGTTTATAAGCCATTTCTTGAAAGCTGAAATCACCACCAAGCAGCAGGACTCTTACAGACCGTCGCAGCATGCCCGAAAATCTGTCTAGATAATTCTCCAGCCCTATATGCTTTTACATCCATTGCGTCATCAATGTCTTATACCGACCTTCGCGCGGGTCTGCCGCTCCCTTTTCTGGAACCTGTAATCACCCCCCCCCCCCCCCCCCAGGCCACCCTGACGTTTAACTTTAGCAAAATACCAGGATCAGGATGCTGTTTATGGGCCACTTTTTCTTGAATTACAATGCTGAAATATTTTGACCATGTTAAACGCCATAAGGGCATGGAGAAAACAGTAATGGGCGGAAAGGTTCATGGGAAAGGAGATGGAACGATCAGCACGACGTGTGCCAGGATGTCGAGGGCACCCTTTAGAGGGGGGAGTTGGCATGCGTCCGACTAGCATTCCAGCGTGGTCAAATGAGTAAAATGGTCTTTTTAGACGCCTTTAGTCGTATTGAGCATAAAGGGCTAGACCTATATTTTACCAACAAATCGGCACTCGATTGGTGATAATGTCAGCATCAAGCGGCCACCTTTACTTCCCATGACTGTACCTGGTACCCACTAGGCTGGGTTTACCTGTGAGTCAAGGTCCTTTAAAGATAAGTTCCGCTATGTCAAGATCCGAACCCACGACCCTCCGACCCGCATGCGAGCGTCTAGCCGCCGCTAAAATGAGTGACGTTCTACAAAGGACCTGCTCTGTGATGATATTGATTAACGCGTGTAATGTTTGTACACAGCTCCAGTACCAACATGTTTTCCCGACAGTCAACTCTAGCATGCTTTTTCAGTATGCTAGTGATAGCCTTATCTCACCCTCCCAACCCCACTCAATATTATGTAAAGCACAATGGAAACCATCACTTCTTCAACACCGCGCAGCGTTGGTCGTAATATCTATGCGCAGCCTCTTATCAGGTGTGCTGTAAAATCATTTATAATATACGTTTCTGGTGCCATCAAAATTGGAGCTCGTCATGTGTTGTTTGTGTTATATTGTGAAGCTTGCTGATATACTTTCCGTAAGTTTTATCTCTTTTTACAAATGAAGATGGAAACGGAGGGTTTATAGGGTGTCTGAGTGCTATGATTTTGATTCTTAATCCAGCAAGCTTACGTCTTTCCTCTTGGTTTACATTTGGTTGAGACTTTGCCCTCACTCTGTCTTTCTCAAGTATCCAGAAACCCTGAGTTGTAAACCCTTTGATTCGGTACTAAGCATACCGCACCCCTTCGGCCCTGATTCCAGGATAGATACCATAAATCTGGGAGTGATGTGGCTTTTTTGCCTACCCCCGGACCACAAGTACGTCCGGTTCAACCAACTAAGCTAGCGAGGCAGGCCTCTTTCTCTTCAACTGTAGTTAGGACAGATTTAGGTAGTAAGGCTAACTAAGTTTGGAACGATAATTACCTCTGTTGTGACATTGCATTCATTAGAGATTAGAATCTCGCATTTTGTGTTGGTTGCCACGGGAACCCAAAGATGTCCAGATGATGTATTTCCGGAATACCAGGAACCAATACATAATTTTTCATCACACTTAAGTCAAAACAAATTTCGGCTTCATCTGCATCACCATGTAGCAAAACGTCGCTCTCGTCCTGCCTGAAAGACACATTTTCTCTTGGGCTCGTCTCGTGCACTTTCACATTCAGCGAGTCACTTAAATCCTGCGCCTATCTTCGCGTTAATTGACCCCTGACCCTCCTTCCTGGTACCATGCCTTTTGCTATTATACTTTGCAGTCTGCCGTGGCGCTTGCTATGACCAAAATATTTCAGCTTTCGAGACTAGATGCTGTCTATTAGAGAATCTTCCTCGATGTTCAGATCTGTTAAATTGTCAGTATTTCTTCTCTTCTTTGCCCATAGCATTCTGAGAATATTTCTGTAGCATTTAAGCTCAAACGTCCCCATTTTCGTTGTTAAGGACTGGGAGGTAGTCCACGATCCACATCATTATGTTGCTGCAGGGCAGATGCAATTTTTTTAAAAATTTTATCTGTGATTTCTTGTGCTTAACCATAGACTTTTAATGTTGTTTAACCTTTGTAATGCTATGGCCATTCCCCTTTAACCTCTGTCTCGCAGTCGTGGCTATTTATTATGGAACCTAGATATTCAGTTTGTGTCATGGGACTTTGAACAGCTAGACAGACCTTACTAGTAGAGAGAGAAGCGAGTCAAGTTTCCAAAACTGACATCACAGCACTCATGGCATTCCCATATTCCCTCTATCCTTAACTTCAGCAGCAGTCTGACCATTTCACCTTTCCTCTGAGTGTGGAGTGTCAGCAGATCCCTGGTTACTCCCTGTTGATCCATTCTCTTCAGACCAAGATGATTTATTTGTGTCTCTGCACCTTTTACTAGCTCCCAAAGGACCCTGTCAACATCTAGCTTGTCACGCATCAGTTCACCACCAAGTGGTGCCGAACCAGCCAGTCAATCTGCCCATTAGTTTCCCAACACATCTGCATGGCTGGAGAAAATATCAAAAAGATGCTAACGACCACGGACCTCTGAAGCAATGTGGGCCACTCTACTAGGAGCGTGGCTGTCTCCACCTGTCTTAAAATGCCTTGCGAGTCAGTTACAATCACAACATGTGTGTAAAGCTGATTCTCAAGCCAACGAAAGGCTGCACTGACCACCTCTACCTCCATTCTAAAAGTAGATGTTGTGATATCATATGCTAAATTTTGCTGTGCTAAGAGTGATCCATTCACATTTGCTATTGATATTAACACCATGCACTTCTTTTGCCTGTCAACACAGAACCATCAATATAATCACATCACCTGGGAGAGAATTGTTATGAATCAACCTTTGAATTTCTGATTTTGCAGTTCCCGCTGGCCAGTCTCAGCACTCCTGACCCAATGTGATCAGACCCAATGTGATTAAAACATCAAAACCCTACAAAAGTCTGTTTAGCCACTCATCTCCTTGCCAAATATCTGCATACAGATCTAAATGTGTCTTCTGCCTGTGCTATCCAAGACTTTTAGCTCCGTCTAGAGCTTAATGCAGGAGGAGTTTCTACTCTGAGGTAGGATTTCGTTTGCAGCATTTTCATCCTATCTGCAATAGTCGGCAGCGCAAGTACAGTGGTACTTCAGTATATGTTCACTTTTGCATACGCTCAGTTTGGTAAATGTTCTGTTCAGAAGAATTTAGGACCACTCACCTTGCCTCTTCATTCTTATGATGGATAATGTCAAGACCTGTGAGGAGAAGACAAAGAAGTACTCAGTAGGTACTGGAAGATGAGACCAGTCTGTATATCAGAGCTGGCATCTGCATTTGCCCTGATAGCTAAGTCAAAGCACATCTTCAATCCATCTTACTTGTCTGGGAGAAAGAGCTTGAAAAGAGAGGGATGACCATCAGTATCTCCAAAACTAAAACCATAGTGATCTCAAGAGAGGAAAAGAAACACCAGATCATGATGAAGACAGTATGCAATGGAGCAGGTCAACCAGTTAAAATACCTTGGTGCTGTGATGTACCAAAACTGAGGCATTAAGACAGAGCTGGCTCCTCAAAAAGCAGCTGCTGGGAGACTTCCAGGACATTATCAGGAGCTTCAGGCATCACAAATGAATTATCTGAGAAAGATGGTCCAAGTGACAAAAAAGGGACAAAGTTTGCAATCAGATTTGGAAACACAGGACTTACAAAGCTGAGTGGAGCAGTTACAGTTAAGATAGTCTGGACATGTATGCAGAATGGGAGAAAATGGGCCACAATGGCAGGCTAAGAACCAGACCTCCAGGGTCCTCTGGGAAGACAACACCTGATAGTTCTTCACTGACAGAGGACTGGAATGGAACAAAACCAGAAAGAAAACAGCTGATAGAGAAGTCTGCTGATCTCTCTGGCAAACCTCTACACGCCACGATAGAAGAGGAATGACTAAGTAAGTAATTAAATCTTAACTAGTAGATACACATTAAAAGCACGATATAATCAAATCCAATTTGGAGGTTTAACATGTCCTTAAAATACATTTTAGCCTGAACTGCATATCTTTCAGACGTAGATGGCAATGTAATTATGTGCCGCGTGCACACGAATGATGTGTCCCTGTACATCCCAAAATGACTCACATAACTTCGGACACCAATGCGAGCATGCAGATTGTAACTTCCAGCAAAACAAACTGTGGATCTCCTTGTATGGGTTTCGGGGCAACAATAACAAAAATGTACCCACCCCTACTCTAACAAGCATGCTGTAAAAAGTAACTAATTCAGGATTATTCTTTCAAAGTCAGAATGCACCTGCCTGAAAGACAAGGTACCAAGAATCTGCATACAAGTAAGCCAGATCTGTAACACGGATGTAGATGCAAAAACCAAAATCTGGAACAAGACTGCAGTTTAGAAATGGATGAAAAACCACAACTTCTTGCAGGATTTTACAGTTTATATATGACATGTTGGCAGTCACTTGATGATGAAATTAACACACAAAAATCAACCATATTTAGAATCATTCACTTTGTATTTATTAATGGATGTTGTGTACGTATAATAAGCTGTCCATGATAACGGCACTCAAAATTGTGCAGAAGACATAATTTTCTGTTTGTAGGCAGCCACCAGTTTATCAAAGCTGTCAGTGTCGTTCCTCTTCTTGTTAGGTTTCTGTGAAGAAGAAACATCCATGCTTTTGTTGAATGTGATCATGTCAGAACAACAGCAACAGCAATATAGAGACTAAAGCTTCATAAGTAGATTATGCTAATGCTAGTACCAAATTGTGTGGACATTTGTAAAAATGTGTCTGGTGCTAAAGTGTCTATCTAGTACACAACACAGTGTCACCAATAGCTGTACAGGTGCCAGAGTGTCTGGTACACAATACATAGTGTCTCCAGTAACTACACAGGTGCCAAAGTGTCTGGTACACAACACATAGTGTCTCCAGTAACTATACAGGTGCTAAAGTGTCTGGTACACAATACATAGTGTCTCCAGTAACTACACAGGTGCCAAAGTGTCTGGTACACAATACATAGTGTCTCCAGTAACTACACAGGTGCCAAAGTGTCTGGTACACAATACATAGTGTCTCCAGTAACTATACAGGTGCTAAAGTGTCTGGTACACAATACATAGTGTCTCCAGTAACTATACAGGTGCTAAAGTGTCTGGTACACAATACAGTGTCCCCAGTAACTATACAGGTGCTAAGGTGTCTGGTACACAATACATAGTGTCCCCAGTAACTATACAGGTGCTAAAGTGTCTGGTACACAATACATAGTGTCCCCAGTAACTATAAAGGTGCTAAGGTGTCCAGTACACAACAGTGTCTCCAGTAACTAGACAGTTGCTAAGGTGTTTGGTACACAATACATGTGTCTCCGGTAAATTTACAGGTGCTAAAGTGTTTGGAACACAACAGTGTCTCTAGTAACTAGACAGGAGCTAAGGTGTCTGGTACACAATACCTAGTGTCTCCAGTAACTAGATAGGTGCTAAAGTGTCTGGTACACAATACATAGTGCCTCCAGTAACTATACAGGTGCTAAGGTGTTTGGTACACAATACATAGTGTCCCCAGTAACTAGACAAGTGCTAAAGTGTCTGGTACACAATACATAGTGTCTCCAGTAACTTTACAGGTGCTAAAGTGTTTGGTACACAATACATAGTGTCCCCAGTAACTAGACAAGTGCTAAAGTGTCCGGTACACAATACATAGTGTCTCCAGTAACTTTACAGGTGCTAAAGTGTTTGGTACACAATACACAGTGTCCTCAGTAACTAGACAGGTGCTATAGTGTTTGGCATACAACACAGTATCCCCAGTAAAAGTACAGATGCTAAAGTGTTAGACATAAAAGAAACACACAACGCTGTAGTCAAGCCGATTAAAAAAAAAAAAGAATAGAAAGCTTAAAACAAGAATTTTATTCACCCCCCCCCCCCCCCCTGCGTTTGTATTCTGTTTCACAACAGCTAAAGTGTCTGGTACACTATACATAGTGTCTCCAGTAACTACACAGGTGCTAAAGTGTCTGGAACACAATACATAGTGTCTCCAGTAACTATACAGGTGCTAAAGTGTCTGGTACACAATACATAGTGTCTCCAGTAACTACACAGGTGCTAAAGTGTCTGGTACACAATACATAGTGTCTCCAGTAACTACACAGGTGCTAACGTGTCTGGTACACAATACAGTGTCTCCAGTAACTATACAGGTGCTAAAGTGTCTGGTACACAATACATAGTGTCCCCAGTAACTATAAAGGTGCTAAGGTGTCCAGTACTCAACAGTGGCTGCAGTAACTAGACAGGTGCTAAGGTGTTTGATACACAACAGTGTCTCCAGTAACTACACAGGTGCCAAAGTGTCTGGTACACAATACATAGTGTCTCCAGTAAATTTACAGGTGCTAAAGTTTCTGGAACACAACAGTGTCTCCAGTAACTAGACAGGAGCTAAGGTGTCTGGTACACAATACATAGTGTCTCCAGTAATTAGACAGGTGCTAAAGTGTTTGGTACACAATACATAGTGTCTCCAGTAACCAGTCAGGTGCTAAAGTGCCTGGTACACAACAGTGACCAAAAAACTAGACAGATGCTCAAGTGTTTGGTACACAATACACAGTGTCCTCAGTAACTAGACAGGTGCTATAGTGTTTGGCATACAACACAGTATCCCCAGTAAAAGTACAGATGCTAAAGTGTTAGACATAAAAGAAACACACAACGCTGTAGTCAAGCAGATTAAAAAAAAAGAATAGAAAGCTTAAAACAAGTAATTTATTCACCCCCCCCCCCCCTCTGCGTTTTTATTGTTTCACAACAGCTCGTTATATCCTTAGTTCATACACTTCCATTTGAGTGTTGACTGTTGTTTATGACTCCTATTATTTTTATTCTTTTATAAGGACTAGGTGAAATGTTCAGTTTGTGTGCATTTTTGTTTACTTCCCTAGTCAGTTTTTGTTTTAGTAATTTATTTCTGGTTTTTTCTTTCTAAACATTTGTTAACATCTGAAGAATCTGTTTTCGGATAAAGTAAAACTAACACAATTATATTATCTATAAAAAAAAAGGAGAGGGAGAGGGAGGGAGAGGGAGGGAGAGGGAGAGAGAGAGAGAGAGAGAGAGAGAGAGAGAGAGAGAGAGAGAGAGAGAGAGAGAGAGAGAGAGAGAGAGAGAGAGAGAGAGAGAGAGAGAGAGAGAGAGAGAGAGAGAGAGAGAGGGAGAGAGAGGGAGAGAGAGAGAGAGAGAGAGAGAGAGAGAGAGAGAGAGAGAGAGAGAGAGAGAGAGAGAGAGAGAGAGAGAGAGAGAGAGAGAGAGAGAGACAAAAGGAATGTTCACTAACTTTCATTTTTAGAGGTTTCTCCTTTAATGACTTAGGTTTCACAGGCTGCTGTTTTCTACTGCCCATGTTAAAACTATTTGGCTTTTTCTTGTCTTTTATTTGTTGGCTGGGTCTAGGCTTGTGTCGCTGTTTCGGTCCTGAATGCGATGGCAAACCTAAAGCTCCCTAAAATGTTCATTAAAAAGATTTATAAGGCAAATGCAATTTCTCTTAAATCAAAACAAAAGGGACACAAACAGACTGTACAGTTTATTATTACATGGCATATTCCAGTGAGGGGCTTATCAGGTGAGCAGTAGAGAAATAATCATGGTTGTAATTTCTATCATATTTTGAAGGTTTTCAACTAAAGGCCCCCTCGTAGCAACAAGAAATGCCATTGCTCTTACAAATATTTCAGAGCAGATGGGTATTTTTACGTTAGATTCTTATTTCTTCCACACTTATAAGGGGCTAGGTGTACAAAGAAAAGACCAGATGAAACAAAGAAGATGAACGAACGAACAAACTTTATTTTCAAAGGGTTACAAATTGGGCACGCAGGCCCCTCTGACATTCGGCCCTTCTAAGTACTCATTTTTCAGAGTACCAATACCTGTTATCAATAATGCATGTTATGGATTTAATAAAGAAATATAAATTATAGTATAATGCATACACACATCATGTGTACACAATCGTACACACTCACGTATACATACTCCTATGTTCTCATATATGTGAACTCATATACAGACATACATGATACATACACACATGCATCTACATACACATACAAGCATACACATACATAGACATAAATGCACAAACAGAAAACACACACACATACATGGATATACATGCACACACTCATTCCATACATACACATCTATACATGCACCCATGCATACCCACATTTACAATCAAATGTACAGACACCAACATATGCCCAAAACCACACATTTGCACTTATATGAATACATACACCCACATACATGTATACATATATTCACACATACATACATACATTTATACATAAACTCACATCTTTACACACATAACATACATACCTAAATATACTTTCATATATCCACATGCATACACACACAATCATACACACATGCATACTTGCATCTTTTATAAATACACAAACACACACATACCTACACATCTACATATACCTGCATACACCCACATTATACATAAATATACACACACACATTCAATCACTTACTTACACAGCTACATTTACATTCATACATTCTCATACATACAGACATACATAATACATACATGCACCTACATACATATACGCACACATACACACATCCACATGTATACATACATACATAGGCTAAATCTGCATGCATAATAATACAAACACACATCCACATACATATACAAACATAAAACACAAACATCTATTTACATAGACATACATGCACACACACACATCCATACATACACACATCCATACATACACTCACACACTTACAAACATACATACATACTTGCAAACACACAAAAATTCATGTTAAGCAGTATTTCTTCTTCTTCTTCTTCGTGTTCACTGGCTGTAAACTCTGGTAGAAAATTCTGGTTGTTCATCCACTTCTGGACTCTGTGGTTTTGTTCCAGAACTTGAGTGTCTTCAAGCTGAAAGAATTGTGAAGGTTAGGACCCCTCCCCGCCGACAGAAAGAATCCCAAATCTTACAAAGGATTCTACATTGGGTCACCCCATGAAAGCCTAGCATTCTTAACCATCCTGCCAGCCAATTCTCTAGATTACCAGAACTGTGTCGGTTATAATAACACCTTGCGGCAAATTTACTGCACAGTCTGTGATGAAGGGGCACAGGAAATGATGATAAACAAAATAGTATGTAAAGAATTTCATGAAAGCTGGTTCAGCAGCCAGTCAAGTATAACTGTACAAATACTAAACTTCATGAAAGCTGGTTCAGCAGCCAGTCAAGTATAACTGTACAAATACTAAACTTCATGAAAGCTGGTTCAGCAGCCAATCAAGTATAACTGTACAAATACTAAACTTCATGAAAGCTGGTTCAGCAGCCAATCAAGTATAACTGTACAAATACTAAACTTCATGAAAGCTGGTTCAGCAGCCAGTCAAGTATAACTGTACAAATACTAAACTTCATGAAAGCTGGTTCAGCAGCCAGTCAAGTATAACTGTACAAATACTAAACTTCATGAAAGCTGGTTCAGCAGCCAATCAAGTATAACTGTACAAATACTAAACTTTATGAAAGCTGGTTCAGCAGCCAGTCAAGTATAACTGTACAAATACTAAACTTCATGAAAGCTGGTTCAGCAGCCAGTCAAGTATAACTGTACAAATACTAAACTTCATGAAAGCTGGTTCAGCAGCCAATCAAGTAAAACTGTACAAATACTAAACTTTATGAAAGCTGGTTCAGCAGCCAGTCAAGTATAACTGTACAAATACTAAACTTCATGAAAGCTGGTTCAGCAGCCAGTCAAGTATAACTGTACAAATACTAAACTTCATGAAAGCTGGTTCAGCAGCCAATCAAGTATAACTGTACAAATACTAAACTTCATGAAAGCTGGTTCAGCAGCCAATCAAGTATAACTGTACAAATACTAAACTTCATGAAAGCTGGTTCAGCAGCCAATCAAGTATAACTGTACAAATACTAAACTTCCTGAAAGCTGGTTCAGCAGCCAATCAAGTATAACTGTACAAATACTAAACTTTAATCTCGGCTATGTAAATCCTATCCAGATATACAGAAGTGAACCATGGAAAGCTTGACAAATAGTGAATCATTATTTTGAAGCCGTAGAGATGTGGCAGCTAACAGACTGAAATGGTTGGGGCATATTAAAAGAGTGTCAGATGACAGAGAAGTAAAAACTGTATACACCAGGGAGATGAATAGCCGTAGACCACGAGGCCGACCAAGAAGACGATGGAGAGATAATATCCAGAGAGATCTGCAATTACTTGGTGTCACCAACTGGAATGAGAAGGCCAACCAGAGAGATGAATGGAGGCGGGTGATATCTGCAGCAATGAACCTCATGGGCTCGGAATGCTGAAGAAGAGAAAAAAATGTGGTTTTGAAAATGAATAATGAGAATACCTTGGATAGATAAAAAGATTAATGAAGATGTCTTGAAAGAATTTGATGCATGAAGAGAACTGGCTGCCCACATTAAAAGGAGAAATCCACATTCTGTGGTCACTTCATGAGAAAGAGACAACTTGAGTGCATGGTGACGGTGTGAAAGATGGAGGCAAGAAGAGGTAGAGGAAGACCTAAAGATGCTGTCAAGGCATGCAAGATCATCTGTCAGAACTGATCGTGGAGAGACATAATTATCAATGTCACACTTCACGGACTATAAGAAGCAGAAGAACGCTGGCAAAACCAATGCACCTGGTTTAATTGTATGCACAAGTACTCAAAACATATTAAAACAAAACAACATAAAACAAATGCTAAACAGGCATAAACAAATGAAATGTAATGTCCGAATGTGCCTACCTTATGCAAAGACCTTGCCACCTTATCCTGCTCCTTCCTTTTCTCTAATGGAAGAAAACCTTCCTTGTTTTTATGTTTTCTCTTCCTGTTCTGTGCTACCCCTGTGGACTGTTTCCTATCTTCAACTTCCTGAGCTTTCTGCCTCAATTTCGCCTGAAAATACAAAAACAAAATTCCAGCACCTTTTTTCTACAAGCTGTTAAAAAAGCTTTTTTTTTTTTCAAATGCGGAAACTGTCTTTACTGCCTGCATTTCTTTGCACATTTAAAATTATTATGCACTGACTATTCCATTTTTAAAACACAGACAAAACACAAAATATAGCACAGCTGACTTTTGACGGTTTAAAATATGCAACATGCAATCTCTCTGTTAAATCCATTAAGTCCCTAAGACTAACAAAACTGAGGTGGACGAACACCCAAAACTTTCCACTGGAGTTTACAGCTGGTGAACGCAAAACAAAAGAAGAATCTATGACCAAAGCTTAAAGAATGATGCAAAATATACAATGCAGGTTCTTTCTGTCATTTATTTATATTCTTTTAATTTGTTTTATTCCAAATAGTATTTGTTGAGCTTCTCCATCTACACAGACGGCTTGGCACATGCACTTGAATCTTTAAATACAATCTAATTTGGCATACAGTGACTTTAGTCAGTCAAATCAGTTTCAATTATAGTTAAAAGTTACAACAATTAAAAATTGAAAGCAAATATTTGTAAATATTCAAACATGACAAAACTTTGACAACTGAAAACTTACTCTAGACTTTTCCACACGTTTCTGCTTTGCTTCCAGAGCTTTCCTGTTCTCTAATGAGAATTCAACTATTGGTCTCTGTAAAAAAAAAAAAAAAAAATTCTGCATAAAGAAATGATAACACAAAGAACTACTTACCAAGCAGTAAATGAAAGTAGTGAAGTTGAGTAACTAACACCCAACATGAAGCCTTATAAGAATATGTCTGAACCCCCATCGAGGTTTTTGTGTGTTATGACTGACCTGGGCCGTCAAGTTGACTGGCAATCCATATGGTATTAACTACATTTTCTTTCAAGTGCCAACTGGTCTACAAAAACAAAACAAAAACAGAGCTAGTACCTTGTGCTTAACATGTTTTAACCTTTTTATTCTGGAAATGCTTTAAAAAAAAAAGACCGAAACTGAAAATCTGTAAAAAGACAAAGGCCAGAGCTAAGAGATTTCCCAAAGAATCTTTAAAAACAAATTTATTAAGATTTTAAACAGTTAACTAATAAAGTTGTTAAAAATTTAATATTCTATATCTTTACAATTTTCTTTGAAATATTTAAAGGAAGTAATAAATAATCATGAATGGGGTGAAGCATTATTGAGAATATATTTCCCAGGGTCTGAACAAGGCAGACCTAATCTATTTCAGGCTGAATACTGAGAACCTTAAACACCCCTCTGTTGTGTCTCCATGCGGTAGTGATAGAGAAATGCATGCACATGTTCCAATGACCTCAAGGCTATGCTTACAGTAGAGTACCTACTGGTAGGGTCAAGAGCTGGGGACCAAATAAAGAGAGACAAACCTGCTGCCTTGTATGCTGAACTGTAAAAGTTAAAATGTCGAGAGAGGGGATCGACTTTCCCGCACAAGGTTTTATCTGATATGGTTTAATCTCTCTGCAAAATCGGTGGACGCCTGTCGAGAGCATCAGACAAAGCAAAAGCGACGAATCCTATGAATCTCCGTAAAAATTGCTCACGTGACCTGAACGATGCCTCCATAATAGGAAACCATGATTTTCTCAGGTCAAGGCAAATGGCTTGACCCCTTTAACAGATGTAATGATCTATGGGCTCAAGGAATTAGCAACATTATGCCAAACACCTTTAATTTCCAGGTCATTTCCTGATAACAATGTTAGATGGAAAATCAAACCCTGATATTTGGGCTGGGATGCAAGCATCTAGGCACTGGACTACATACAGTGAGTAACAAACAATAAGAAACAAATTGCATGTAAACTGACCTTCTTATCACCGAAGATATCTGGGTTGTTGTTAAGATGCTGTAAAGCACTCAGTGCATGCTCATGCTGAGTGAAGGCACAGAATGCAAAACCTTTAGATTTGCCAACACCCTGAGTGTTTAACCTGTTCAGATCTCTCATAATACGGCACTGAAACACAAGTTAAACATTCATAAATTCTAAAATTACTATCATATTCAACAACACATTTTTAATTTATGTTAAAAAGTGAGAGAAAAAATACCTAACCTTTTCAGTTTGTCCCTACTATCTGAAATTTGAAATGTGTGATGTGCATAGCTTAGTAATCTCATTGGTTTGGAGTTTTTTGTTCTTGTTGCTATGATTAAGTTTCAAGTGACATTTACTAAATGTGACATGATTTTTATTTGTTTTTCATGTGTGGTAGTCGGCAGAGGAGGTTCCAAATTCACTGAAAATGGGTGGCCCCATAAGTGGCTTTGTTCTGTGCCAGTGAAAATCACTAAAAATGCCATTCGTTGCCCCTTTTCTTCTTCTTCTTCTTCCTGATCACCGGCTGTAAACTCCAGCTGAAAGTTCTAGCTGTTTGTCCACCTCTGAGCTTGAGGCTAGTTTGAGAACTTGAGATTTGCATGCAAATGAATTTTACCAATCTGGCTTATTTGTAAGCAGACTGTGGGTTTCATTCCTCTCAGGCAGATGCATTCTGACTTGGAATAAAACACCTCTAGGACTTTCAGGATATGCTTGGGGGGGGTTCCTACTCCCACATTAAATAAATGGGGAGCTGTCCCATTTCAAAAGCACAAAGGACACACAGAGATGAATACCTGCATGGCATCATAGCAACATACATGGGGTGAGATAAAAGCACCGACCTGGTCAATGATTCTAGTGAATGTGTGTTATGGTGAAAGATTACTGCCTACGCTTGTCAGCAAGACACATAGTTCTGACAAAATCCAGAAGTCTCACACGTAGTAAATGCATAAGGCAGCCGCCAGAAGTGCAAAACTAACAGTCTGTTATTCATTAAAGGAAGTACGAGTAGTTCCTCAAAAGGATTCTGGGAGCCCGCCTGAGGGGTAAGGAAAAGGGGGGGGGGGGGGGGGTAAAGACCTTTGCCCCCCTAACAAGCATGCCATAAAGGTATTGCCATTTTATAAAGATACAGTAAACACACAATTTTTAAAATAGCTTTTTGATTTATTTATGTTTGTATTCAAATGTGATCATGTGTTACTGTTTACAGTGTACTGTATTTAGGAAATTTATTTCTCAAATTTGAGTTTGTTGGACCCTGAAACAGATTAATTTAGTTTCCATCTTCTCTTTTGGCCAGAAAGAACAACAGTGGAACGTACACTCTATGGACCAATGAATGAATTAACAACAACAATGAAATTTATACAAGAGACAAAATTGCTGATATAGACAACTTATTTTCAGGCGAACGAAAGAAGAAGAAGTTTCCATTATTTTCAGTGGGAATAGCTGCCTGGGACTTAACATTCAAACACTGTCTCAGAACGGATTTAGTTCAGATTTGGAGGTACCATTGTATCTCTCTCCTAGATGTGTCGAGTAACTTTTTCCGGAATCTCATTTCAGTTGTACTAAGAACAACATGGGTAAAGGGATGACATGTGAGATAGCAATGTACCTCTACTAGTTTAGCCTGCTTGTCGCCTGCGGCTTTGACCACAATTTCTCTCAGCTGTTGATCTGTAACTGTTGGTGGGATGTTGTGGACGCACAGACGGGTGGAGGAAACAAACACATTCTGGTCCTTCAACTTCAGCCTCTTTGCTGCATCTATCTGTTGACATACAGAAAGAAGCACCAAGGATGTTTGTCTCAGACATTTATACGCAAACAATGATAGCTGTCAAAAACAACCACCGACACTGTGTTCATAAAGAAACTTTTCAGGGCAGTGGACCATTGGTTGCTTTTATTTCCCACGACTTTACCTGGTACAAATTTTAGGCTGGGTCAACCTGCGAGCCAAGGTTATTTTTTAAAAAAAAAACATAAAAAAACTCAATGTGGATTCAAACCAAATAGCTCTGAGCTGACAGGTTAGTGCAAAGGCTGCCACAGCCCCGTACATGGTGCTAGTTTCATATTTATATAAACCAATAGACATTCAATCAGTGACAGAATGAAACCTATGGAAATCCACCGGCAGATGAAGGTCCTGTATGGTGATGCATGCCTGTCAGTTCAGCAAGTGGAGTATGAAGTTTTAAAACAGCATGACTTCTGTGAAAGATTGTTCATAATGGATCCAGGCCCACCAAGCAGAGATCACAGAGTCAAGAGACCCTAGAGTCGAGCAGGTCCTTAGCAAAATGCTGCTCTCATCATGAAGTGAAATAGGAAGGCTGAGAGAGGGGTTAAATGAAGAATGCATACATTTCAGACCACCATCAAGGCATGCCAATTCATCACTGGATGGCATGACAGAAATCGGTGATTAGAACGTTGGCCAGACAGGCCACACAGATAAACCAGTAATCTTCGGGAAAGTACGTAGGAACATCTGCACGGTGACCAGTGTTGAATTGAGTACGGTTATCACAATAAAACCATGACATCTGACAGTGAAGGATGAAAACGTACGAGGAGACCCAAAAGATGCACAAGAGAGAAGGAGGTTGACTGCCCGAGAGCAGCGCGGGATGCACGTGTCCAACTGAAGATGATAACATGGTGGATTAAGGGTGAGAGGGGGGAATTGAGAACCCACGCGGAGAGAGTTAGGGAGCGGGGGGAGAGTACGATGAAGAGAGGAGACAGGTCAGTTAGTAGCTAGCCGCTTAAGAGGGCAGTTGAGAAAACTTTGTGGGAAGATATATGAAACTATGGTTTTGCTTTGCTAGAAGACTGATTAAATAACTTATCGCCAGATATATGAACAGCCAAGAATAAGACTAGAATGTTATACCATGTATAAATGAAATGATTCATACTGTTTGACTTACAACCTTGTGGAAATAAACAAAGAGATCTGTAATAGTTTGTTACATCACTGGCCTTGTTGTTGGGTATGATCAAGAGAGCTTTGAACTGTATCCATAACACACTTTGTCCGAATTAGGCACATCCATACTTGGGGGATGTGAAGATACAAGGATTCTGAAAAACTTTTCTTTTCCATGTCAATTCAAAGGCCCCTTTTTCTTCCTTAATGACTGTGAAATAGTCTACAGCTAGAGATTTACATGCAATAAACATATTGTGAGTAGCTTTGAAACTGTTTAGGGTTATTCTTTGTGAACTATTAACTATCAGAAGTCCTGAGTTGCTTGGTTATGACAATTCTTCTCGATAAAGTGCAAAGGACAGCTATTGATTAAGGTTAAAACAACATGGAAGAAGGATTACAGAGGGGTTAAAAGACGATGGGAAAGACGTAGATAGAGTATGCAAGATGCAATGAAATTTGGTAGGAAGACTCGGCTTTAGCTGTAATCTGATATTTTGGTGTCGGTGATGCATCTATTAGCTTCAGCAAGACAGCATACGACAATCCTGATCAGCACAAAGAAACAGCTCTTACAAAGAATATTCATCTCCATTGTTTACTACCAGATTCAGACATGGTCACTCACTACAAACAAGAAAAGAAAATCATTGACCATGTAAATGAGATGTTGAGAAGAGCTGCAGGAGTGACTAGAAAAGATAAAATCAGGAACGAAGTCACAACAGGAAAGTTGTCAGACCTAATTCAACATTACATATAAAGACAGCAAATCAAATGGTTTGCCTACTTAAAGAAGCACCTTGTGACACTATACCATACATAGAGAAGGACGTAGAGCACGATGCAGACCAAGAACAAGATTGAAAGATAACAGTGAAACTCTACAACAGCACAATGTCTATGGTAAAGGTGACCAGAAGAGCAAGAAGCAGAACCTCTATCCCCCTTGAAACCCGGAGTGGTAAAAGAAGAGGCGTAGAAGCAGAAGAAGGATGAAGATTAAAACAAAACTTTCAGAAAGTGCGACTACAGAAACGCCAGTCTAACCTTCAATCTCAATGCTAAATCTGCAGGAGCAACTTCCTTGGCAGCAGCAGTTCCTGGACGTATCACTGAGAAGAACAGAAAATACTTCAGATGAAAAGCACTAAACTATAATATATCTAAGTTCCACATAAATAACTTGATAAACAGATACATAAAAGTGTACAATTTCAATTATCACCTCTTTATACATTATCATGCAAATTTTTCCTCCAGATCCAACTCCCAAGTGCACACACTCTCAGCCAAACCCTTCTGTGAATATACCATAGCTTATGGTCTAATGTGACTAATCTGAAAATATTGGCTGATGATACATTTACAAGAGGAATTAATAATCTGGCAACATAATGCATAGAGGTTATCATAATGACCTAATATCATCATCATTACTAATCAGCAGATCCCTTTACTAACACAGATCTCATCACAGCATGTATGAAAGTCTCTTTCTTGAGTAAGTTCTCCAGCCCTATCTGCTTGGTAATTTTTTTCGGCTTCCGTTTAGAGTTCCTGGGGATATATAACGTGGTAGTCTCCCCTTGCTTCCACAGCCACAAGGTTAAGCACCTCAACTCTCAGCCATCTTTTCAACGGCCAGGATAAGTGCTCTTTATATCATATATCATCCCTATATGTCCAATATCTTTTAAGGCAAGAAAAGGGTCCCCGTTATTTTACTAATGACATCTCACATAATGCAGAACAATGTAGCTGTGCATCCTTTACAGGACGTTACAAAACCAACCACATTTATTTTTTGGTTGGGTATTTATAGGCACATTTTATGTTTAGTAGTTTGCCACCACTTCCTGAACGGTTGGCTTCGTTAACGCTGTAAAAATCAATGCAAGACAACCTGCTGCCTAATCGCACCGGCATCCCAAAGCACATTGGCAATCCCAAGCCACAGATGACGACTATATATATAACGCGAAGCACAACTGGAAAACAAAAATTACTTTTCAGATCTTCTTTTTATACTTCATGCTGGTAATTTGGTAATCATGTCTGCTCACTGCCTCCCGTCTCATGAACTGCCAATAATTTCTGAAAGATATCCTTCCATGCAATAACACCAATGTCCCCCGGCTTCGGTGTAATGCCGGGTTCAATCCCAGTTGAGGGCCTTGCGCCAGTTTAAAGTGGTTTCGAGAAGCCGACCGTCTAGAAAAAAATTACTGTGCGTAAACTTGCCTAGAAAAACCAGTACAGACAATAAATTATTCGGTTGGTCCTGCAAAGGATACAAACTCACTATGACACCAAACTGTCTAAAAATTTCTAATTTTCTTGATATAGGCCTTGAAACTGTTCTACTAAACCAATTACATACACAATGAAACACACAAATAAATTGAGTGAAATGGCATTAAACTATACACAATGATCTATTTGATGTCACTGGTTTAGGCCATAGTTTTCTGTGACAAAAATACCAGATACAGTAACATTCACACATGACGAAACAGAAAAATAAATTGAGCACAAAGTTATTAAACTGAATCATAATGTTTTGAATTTAGACTTTGGATTTCCTAATGTAAGTTGGCCCTTTTCTGTCTTTCCAGACGATAGAGCTATATTGTGCTATGTGGAGGCATGAGGCTATGGCAGATGTGCCTATCAAGCCCCGCAAGTGTTAAAAAAGTAATGTCTTCCACAATTAGAGCAGGGGATTTGAGGACCGCTGTTTCCATCACAAGTATTTAGTATGCCTCTTCTCAGATCTCACCTTTTCTGTAATCATTCTTGCCTTCTGTCTTATTCCCTTCTCCATTTGCCCCCTCCAGACAACAGAGTACATGGCATTTAAAGAAAATATTAGACGTACAAGAGCAAAGATTAACGAATAACACAAATAAACTGAGTGCAATTTACTAAAAACTGCACAATATCCCTGCATATCAAGCGACAGAATGCCCCCTGGCTCGACTGCTGCTCGTCTGATGAACTGCGGCGCCTAGCGACATAAGCAGATATTGACAAAAGATGAATTTACTTATCTGAAAGTATCTGGCAGTATAAAAACAGATACAGGCAACTCACTTCCTTCTCTAGCCAAATAGAGATTCCTTGTGTCTTTCTGCTCTTTCTTTTTGTCCTTTTTCTCTCCAAATTCTCCTGCCTGGTTCCGGCTTACAGCCAGAGTGACCAACAAATTTCGGCCACCGATAGACAGACCAGAATCTTCCTGGTGCAGAGAGAGTTAAGTGAAACTAAAGCAAGGTCAATAACCTCACCATTCTTATGCATCCTAAAGCTTTTTCAATATAAATGCATTGTCTGCAAACAACTTTTATATAACCTAAGTGGTATACTAAAAGTTGAGGTTACTTTCCTGTCCTTTTTATAGGATGTCGAGAAAAAAAAGAAAGGCAAGAAAATAGAGCTGGCAAACTATAATCTCCTATGCCTAATGGTATTCTAAATGATGAAGATGAAAAATTTTGACTTATTCAGTCAACTTTGAAATTAGCATTTCAGGGAAACATCAACATTATTTATAATGAAGTAAAATACTCATCTGTAATAAATATTTATTGAGATATTAGTTCAACAATTCTGCCCTGTAAAAATCTGTAACTAATTAACACCCCCCCCCCCCCCCCAAAAAAAATTTATTGCACAGAAATCCATTCTTACAACTGTGAAACTTTACCCTAAGAAACTAGTGGAAGAGAACAGGCAAACTAAATTCAGGGTCTTTAAAAAAAAAAAAAAAAGTACAGGGGTCAAAATCTATGAGAACCAAGCAGAAGGGGAGGCATGATGACCACTGCGACACTGTGGATATCTAGTGAATTAAAAAAACAAATATTTTCAGGGATTTAGTTGCACACGAGTATTTTCGTTTATTATGTAGGGAAGTAATGACTAAAAACAAACTAAGCAAAGAATTACTGGCTTTCCTCCCCTTTGACCATACAAACTGTGTATTAAGGATCCCACACAAGTAATTCTGAGGACAAGCTGCTAGCTGCATTTCTTTTTTTTTTCTGTATTTTTTTTTTTTTAATCGTTCACCAGCTGTGAATTCCGGCGGAAGGTCCAGGTTAATCGTCCGCTAGGACTTTTGGCTTTCACCTGGACCTTTTCTTGAAGGACAAAGCTCTCTGTTTCCTACACTGTCAGGGTCTATTATTGTAGCTTTTCTATGTACGTACGTACACACATGAATACATTTTAATACTGACATACTAAAATGCTAAAAGAAAAAGCATACACACAACTGTTTTTTTAAATAGTTTTGATAACTTATAGTAGAAGAGAAAAATGAATACTTTTTATTGTAGTTTCACATGTGAGTTCTGTACTTTGGCTACATTTACCCAATAACCTATTGATAGATATACCTTCAATAAATGATGTTATAGCAGGCACATTATAATAGCCACTCACCTCACCGGCTGCAGCTTCCACACAAGAATCAGCAGCCTCTTTTGATAGGAACTGAACAAAAGCGGATCCTTTAAAACAGAGACAATGTTAGAAAATAAACAATACAGACCAAAGAACAGGTACACTTTATGAAAAAAACCAATCATTTTTAACCCTCTCGCCCTGGAAGCTATTGGGAAAAAACCCACAGGAATCAGGAAACATACCACCTCAGTCTTAAAAACAAAATTACCCACAAGTCCCTAAATAAAAAAAAAAAATTAAGTTTCAAAATATGAAATAAAAGTGAGACAGCTTAGAATTAGATAGATGAATTTTTGCTTAGTTAAAATTTAAAAAAAAACTTTTTTTTTTAAAGAATAACTCTGTCACTAAGAGCCTGGCAAGGCTGAATAGTGAATTATGATGCCATGGTTACTATTTAAAAAAAAAACTTTTGTTATAAAAGTAACCTCACAAGTGCTATTTTCATTAAATATAATAATATATGGGCCTCATAAACACTGTGCAAGCACAAACAGAACCAACAGCTTTAACTAGGCTTAACAGTGACTGGTTGATGCAGCAAAGCTGGGTTAGCAACACTGCAGGAACTGGTAATGGGTGGTGAAGCTGGATTACCAGTGTCTCAGGCTGAAAGGTTATTGGCTATCAATTATTCATTATAACATCTTTTATTCTCACTTATGAATATGGAATTCCAATTAGGTAATGTTTGCTCCAATGATGAAATGTATTATGGTCGATATGTTTTGCTGCGTCAAAATGTTTGTGTCTGTATTTTAAAAATGTACACTGTATAATAAAAATATCCTGTCTGACAATTCAGCATTCTGTTTTAGCAATGTTTACCTGGTGATGCTCTTTATGTGAAAGTACAGAATAACTGACACATTAATATACTTTGTTCATTTTATGCAATGTTTGTTTCATCTTGAAATGCATGAGGAGGCAAAAAAAAAACAGTGGTAAACATTCTGCATATCATCTAAACGATCAGCATTCTGATCAGGCAAACAGGCAATACATTGGTTGCAAAAATGATACACTGTATGATTAATTCTGTCCTTAGGAATAAGAGATCCAGTTAGACACTGACTTCTCATTTTGCTGGATAAATGTTTGCTGGTGTACTGAGTGATCAGATTTATGATTTACTCTCCTCGTTTCACTGACCACACCTCTTGGTGGGTGTCAAACAATATCTACGGATTTATGAGAAATCGATAAACTAAAACAAAAATGTTTATCTAAAGACACAAATAATTTCATGACAATAGAAAAAGACGGTTACCTTTCGATATTCCACTGATTTTGTCAACAACAGCCCTGGCATATTTCACAGCTCCATACTTGGAGAAAAACTCTTCAAGTTCTTCATTTTCAACAGTATAAGGAAGATTCCTGGAAAAGAAACACACACACAACAGTTATAGCTTGACCAATAACTGTCTGACTGTAAATCCATCTCGCCTTTTCCTTGAGTGTGCAGCACCATACAACTTCAACCAATCTATTAGTCCCTCCGCACTGCTCACTCTCCCAAAGGACAATACTTACAACATCTAGCTTGTCATACATCGGTTCACCAATTAGTGGTGCAGAACCAACCGATCTATCAGACTGTTCATTTCTCAACACACCTGCATAACCTGGAAAAAATATCCAAAGGAGGTGCATAACCTGGAAAAAAATATCCAAAGGAGGCTAACTACCCAGGAAATCTGAAGTGATGCTTGCCACTCTGCCCACAGCATGCCTGTCTCCACCTTTTTCAACATGCTCTGTGAGCCAGTTACAATTGAGGTATGTGTGAACAGCTGGTTCTCAAGCCAGGGGAAGGCAGCAGTGACTGCCTCCACCTCCATTCTCAAACTAGATGCTGTGGTATCATATGCCAGGCTTTGTTGCACCAAGCAACAAATCTGATTCTTGTTTGTTTGTTTGTACACTTTGATCTTCTCCCAAATTGATCATGCCTGCATACATGTCTGACTACGCCTTCAGCTTGCGCCATCCAAGACTTTCTCTTCTCAGTCTGTGACCTTTAGCTCTATCTAGGGTTTCCTGCATGAGGTGTTTTTTGTCTGCAGCTACTCTCAGATATGATTCTGCCTGCATTTCTCAGTGTAATAAACATAAACAGTTTCAACAAGGTCAACCTTTACATAAGAGAACTTAATAACACCTTCTATCCCATGCTTTCGTTACTTAAAAGTCATAAATGTTTAGATATTAAAAAAAAAAAAATTTACAGAATGCACAAAACAGGTTAAGTTACATCATGATTCTCTTGTACCTTGCAGTGTCAAGGCAAAATATAATTCAAGGGGAAAACGCCTATTTGTGTGCTTCCTAAATGGGGATTCCCAGGTACTCTACCCCCATTTGCCTTTGGATTTCATTGTTTCTAATCTTATTTCTTCTTGTTATATTGACAGCCTTTCGCAGGAATCTTTTTTTTTGGCTATTATAATTTTTTTTTCTCTTTTTCTGTCATTGATAACTCACAGCTGGCAAGGTTACAAATAGTATAAAATATATTCAGACTGCTCAAGGTGATTTGTGCCATGAATGGCAAATTCTGAAAATGCCTGATGTGGCAGAAATAAGAAGAAAAGAAGAAAAAAAGAAAACTAAGTAGGGGGGTGCCTTATGCAGTAATGTGCGTTTAACTGCTGGTTTGTCAAGACTTCTGCTTCTATTGACAATGAACTGCAATTTCTGTGGTGAACTGTCAGGACTGCAGACTGTTTAATTTGTCACATGGGACAGTGACAGGCATTTAGTGTAGCTTTCACTGGCACAGGCAAAAAGTCAACAATGGGGATGACCGGTCCACTGTCAAGCAGGAACTGTGACTAACGACTGACAATGAGACAAAGCATATGTTTGGAATAATGAATGAACTCACAGTAAGTCTCCTGGTACAGAATGTTAAAACCAAGCGAACAAAGGTTTAAAAAAAAAGATATCCAATAGCAGATACTGCAGTCAGGGTGTGAAGTGTACTTCTTTCTTAGTTTAGTCATCTCACTGATACCAGGTTGTAGCCCAGTGTCATAGTTTTTCTGACTTTGTCTTGCGCTTTTGGGTGATGGATTTATTTATCTTTTTGCACATTTCAGCGAACAACTATTCTAGGTTGTGACATTAAAGCTGCAGTGTGGTGTTTCCTTCGTTAATGCTATTCTTTTCAGACAATTGAATAACTATCTCAATCCTTAACTAAAATTGTTATGCCTTGGAGCGATTCAGGTATATGGAACAAATTTTAGCAAACCAATCGGTAATTGATAGTTTATCCCCATGGATTTTTTCCAGGCAACACTCAGAATCCATTAAATGCTATCACAAGAATAAATTACCTCACCTGACAAAAACTGTTCTTCCCTCATTGACATCACTTTCTCGTTCTAGGCAGGAGACAAAATACCCAAAAATATATACCTCACAATAGAAACAAGACAGGCAATTATAGAATTTAAATAATGCAGACACAAACAATACATTGCACAATTTACTGCCTGCCATATTTCGCTGTATCTCGTCAAGTGCATTAATACAGAGTTACATCAACATATAAGCATAAAATGAATACTTTCCTTGCTGAAATACCTGTTTGTATCCTCACTATCTAAATTTACAGCAGGAAAACGTTTTTATTTAAGGAATTTTAATAAAAGCAGAATTAACAACATGTTCTATCAGAGAGAGCAATAGAAAAAGATAAGACATGTTTGTTAACATTCACAGACCTGGAAAAAGCCTTCGATAGAGACGACAGGAATATAAGGGGAAAAAGGGAATCAGCAATCATCTCATTAATATTTGTAAAAGCCTGTTCACACGTAGTAAATGCTGCATAAGATCGAAGGCAGGGTTGTCAAGAACTTTTATAGCGAACTCTGGTGTGTGTCCATGAAGACAGAGACATTGGTGAAAGGAAAACAGAAAGACAATTTAAAAATAAAATTAAAAAACACCTCAAGACAAACAGAGGAATTTAAGTATTTGGGAGCAATTTTCACATCCGACAGAAAACTGGACAGAGAAATTAGCTCGAGATGTGCCAAAGCTAATCAAGTAATGGGTCAACTAACCCCCCTGTTGACACACAAGCAGATATCTCAGAGTACTAAAGTGGATCTTATCAGAATTATGTTTTGGCCAATACTATGCTATCAGTGCCCGATGTGGACACTTACAACTCCAATGAAGGTAAAATTGTGACAACAGAGATGAAATAACTTAGAAGAGCTGCAGAAGTTTCAAGCAAAGACAGAATACAAAATCACAAAATCAGACAAATTCTAGGAATAAAGCCAGTCTTACAGGTCATCAAAGAACAATAAATGAAGTGGTTTGGACACCTAAAAAGAATGCCCTGGTACTATCTGCCACAGCGAGCCACACTATAACATTACAACAGGTATAGAGCGAGTGGAAGACCTAGGAAAATATGGAGTGATGGCATTAAGAACAGCCTTACAGAAATGGACATCAGTCTTAATAGTGCTCTTGACAGAGCTCATCAACAAATGTTACATCTCCCCTCAATACTCCACTGAGGTACAAGGTGGAAGAGAAGAAAAAAGAAGCAACATGCTTATAGAACACACCTTACAATGGCTTTCAGGTGCAGGAAATTTCATCTTATAAAAACAAATTTCATAACCTGCCCAATACATAAGAATACATAGCTAAGCAATACATCTGTAGGAAGATATGTGCGTGCACAACATTTCTAAGTGTCAGCTGTGACATTATCCGGAAGAAGTCACTTTCTTAATGTATATGGTTCAGAAGGTGGTTAGATGTTACTAAAATTCTCTAAAATAAGTCCACAATTATTTTTTTTTCTGTGTCCATGAATTAACAAAATCATCATGTCCTAGGTCAAATGAGGTAAGCGTTGAAACCTCTCTACAAACCTCAGTCCTTAGTGTTCTCCATCAATTTTACAGATACTCTCCCAAAATGTTCTCTCTGCCTTTTCTAACGCTGATATCTCTAGCTATCATATGTTCTCCCTTGCCCCTCTTCCTATTACATGACTAAATGATGTCTCTTTCTTATAGCTGTATATAATGTTTTACTCTCATTGACACCCCCCCCCCCATATTTTTTCAATTACTCTGGAGCTGTTTACAGTACACCTTGTCTGAGAAACCCCTGGTTCCAAACTTACTCTCATTTGTTCATTCAAACTGCAAGATTCCCTACCATACAGTAGAACATCTTTTGACATTTCAATACCCTCTTTCTGACATTTACTTAAAAAAAAAAGTCACTTATATAATATACTTTTCATTTTAAGACACGCTGAGCCTAGAAAAAAAAATGTACAGGGTGTTTCATAAATCCCCCTCTCAGTGACTGGATATTTGTAGCCCATTAACAATTGTTTTGTAGGCTTTAGAGTTTCTCTAAATAATAGTGATCAACTGTTGCATACTTTTCATAAAGAAGTACTGCCCACATTGAAACACTAATTTACAGAAAATATCAACGGCCTGTCTCCAGGCATGTTTGGTTATGCCTCTTCATATTTTGGAAGACCTTTTGCAGGTTGGGCTGTGAAATTTTATGACTGTTAGCAATAATTGACGCTTTACTTAATTTCAGCGCCGAAAAAAAACACACACACACATTCAGCTAGCAATGATTAACCGTCTTTGATTCAAACTGGCATGTTTCCACATTATGAATTACACAACTCTCATGTTAAAAAATTTGACTGTGGCGGAACTTATGGAACGCATCATTCTAGGTAATCTGTAAACACATACGCTCAAAATATAACTCCTTCTTTCATGCCCAGTGCCTTGGATTGGTAGGCAAATAAATTCATATTCCACAAGACATTTCTAGAAACGTACAACAAACAGCAATCATCTCACCTTGTTGCTGCTGGTGACTTTTGCGTAATGTTTTATTGTCATCATCACTATCATCTACACTGACATCTTCATCATCATCACTGTCATCTTCATCATCATCACTTTCATCTTTATCATCAGATGCCTTGCCATTCTCATCATCACTTTCGTCTTCTGCACTTTCATCTTCTTCACTGCTGCTACTGTCCTTGTTGATACTGGCAACACTATTCTGGTCAGTGGTCACTTTGTTACTATCATCTTCATCATTATCATCATCCACATCCATGCCTTCATCATCATCATCTAGCTGCTCTTCTGCCTCCACCTCTTGGGGCGGTAGTTTGGCTGAAATTAGAAAATTTAAACTGTTGAATTCATATTTTCAAAACACTCTGTACATTAGAAGTGCACGGTATACATTAGATCTGCACACTTTGTACCTTACATCAGCACAGTTCCTACAACATTTAGAACTGCACATTCGGTGCTTTCTTAATATCCTACCCCAAACAGGGCAAATCCACAGGTCAGGGGACAGTCTAATATTTCAGGGGGTGGTAGATAGGCTGCATGCAGTTGTGGGACCTAGGCTGCGCTCTCTTGTGGGACATAGGTGGGTTGGGGTTAGGGCCAGTTCTAGATGTTTTGGGGTCTTTAAAAGCATCAGAAAGAAGGGAAACCCAGTCTTGCCACCCTCTAAAATGTTGGACTGTCCTATCACGGCATCTGATGTAGGATATTACAAAAGAACCGCACATTCAAAATTTTAGTCCGACTGGAATCTATAAAGCAAAGGATATATCCTCTTCTTCTTAAAGTCTGTGCCATGTGGCGTTGGCACTCATGTCTATGCACAACCTTCTATCTCGTGTACTTGCAATCAACTCTGACACAGATGACCCTCCATGACAAACTGTCAAGGACCTATTCTCTCGGTCTCCTCTCCCATCCAACTTCTCCTTTCCATCACATGACCAAAGAATGTTGTTTGTCTCTTTCTGATGTGGGCAATCAGTTCTCTTCATGAGTCAGTTTCTTTCAAGGCGTCTTTATTACTCTTTTTATCTTTTCAGGGTATTCTCATAATTCGTCTATAAAACCACATCTCTGCGGCTTCCAAATAAGTTTTCACTAATTTACCAACTGTCCATGATTCAGTTCCATACATCAAGATAGGATTTATATAGCTTTTAGAATTTATCAGTTAATGGTGAAAAAAACACACTGTAGCAATGGTTAAAGAAAGGGCTCCTTCAATTTTTACCAATAGGGATTGAATCTAGACTTATTCTTTTTTAGCGTTCCTCTGCTGTAGACTCAGGAGAAAAGTTATGGTTATTTGCGCAATTCTGGAATTTAGGTTCTTTCCAGAACATGAGTTTTGCATGCACATCCCCTTTACAGATCTAGCTTAATTATATGCACACCTCTGGTTCCTTACCTCTCACCCTACTTATGACATGCTTGGCAGGGGCACATGTACCTACCACTATGTTACTGTGGCTAAAGAAAACATAGGTGCCCAATAGTTTTTAAGCCAAATCATATCCAAAAGAAAGTGAACAGAGAAGGACAACCAACAAACACTTGTATGTTATATTGCTCAGCACTGAACTGAAGGGCTAGTGCCTAGCAGCTGCCAGACTGATACCAACAGCTATATGCATGCTAGTTAGTTGACAGATTATCCCCACTGCACATCAAACCATTCAGTCCATACGTGCTTAGATTCCCTCCTCAATAAATCCCGCAGCATGTAGTTGCTGATGACACCAGTTCTGGCTTAATTTTTTAAATTCTTCTTTGGCTTCCCACATAGTGCTTTTGTCTGGCCACACCTCTTTTAACATTCTGTTCTTGCAGTCTGGTTATAGTTGCAGATTCAGTCATCACTTGGTTCTCACTTCTTGTAGAGCATTTGTCGACTTTAACCTATATTCAGTATATCATCCTGGTCCATGGCATGTCTGCCCACCACGGCAGCTCTACCTGCAAGTCGATCAGCTTGCTCATTTCCTTGCATGCCTGTGTGCCCTGGCACAAATATGAAACTAATATGTGTCAGCCCTGACCGCATCAGAGACAGCAGACACTGTCTTTGGACCTAGCCCATCTCTATTTTTGTGAGCATTCTCATTGAGTCACAAAGAAAACATGCAAGGGTAAAGGTTTGCGTCTCCAGCCATGCTACTGCTTTGGTCACTGCAATGATCTCCATTGTCTGACTACTTGTAGTCAAGATAAAAGCACCAGAATTGTGCTTCACAACTCTCAACTCCAATTTGAGCTGTAAAAGTCCACGAGCTTCTCATGTGATGAACCACAGACCCATCTGTATAAACGACAGTGTCCCCTTCTACAGAATTCTCTTAACAGCAGTGGGACATTGCTGTCTGCATTTTCTGTCTAGCTGGATGCAAACAGAAAAGGTCATACAGCATTAAGTTGGCACTTGTACCCATTCATCACCAGGTTCTATGTCCTCAAGAGAATACACAGACTTACAGTTGGCATAGGGGTATTGACAATAAGGTTTTTCAAAAAAGACCATGTTACTGTTGCTTTAGTTGGGCTGACCAACGCACTAGCCTCACCACACCAATTGCTTATGCCGTTGAGTTCTATTTGTTGTTCTCCAGCAACCAGCTCTCTTATCTTTACCCTGACGATACACTGCTGCTGAACAGCAGGGAGATAATGGTGATCCCTGTGGCAGACCAGGAACTATAGTTACAGGTTCAGAACACCAACTGCCACATCTAAACACTACTTTTCGTTGGAAGAGGGCTGCAGAGATCCAACTCAGAAGGAAAGAACTTATTTTGAGTTCAAGAAGCTGAGATATTAGGAAATAAAACCGAGACTGTTGCATGCATCCTCAAGATCAATTGCACATGTTTCAAAGCCTGAGTGGAAACCTTCATACACATCATGGACAAAAAACTGCTGCATTGGTCCAGTTTTCTCTGTTTGGATGATACCCCAAGTGGAGGAAGACATGGCCTCTCAAGCTGACATGATATTTTTCGGGCAATTATCCTCTTCAACAGCTTGCCTGTAGTATTCTGCATGATGATTACCTGATACTGCTGAATTTGTGAATTTGTGCATAGTCTTTGCCAGACTTTGGCAAAGGTATCTGTCTAACCACTCCTTGTTGATACTAGCTTTAGCTGTACTGTGGTTATACAACTACCAACTATATGCATGTACACAGGTAAGAGAGCATTTTCATCTCTAAAAAAAAAAAAAAAAAAAAATTGCCTACACAGATAAAACCACTTTGAGTATTGTCATAAATGTAGGACTACATTAATCTCTATATATCACAAACAGAACTCACCTGCCAGTTTGGCTTCGAACTTATCTTTTGGCAATGCCCAATCCACAGCTACAACTCGTCCTGTGCAGATTTTAACAAAACATAAGTACCTACAAAAATGTATATTTTAAAATGATTAAAATGTTAGTTTTTTATTTTAAATAGTCGATACCATGGAATGTTGGTCATCTTGTCTGTCCACAGCCTCCTGACTTGTGTTATGCCAATAATGCCTGATTAAATTGTTCTTACATACGTTAATATAAAAATGTCTAACATCTTGATTCTTGTTCAGTCCTGGACCCTCTAACTTTCCTGTTGTCATGATATACCAGCTCTTTTATAATGTGCTCAAATAATCGGGATAATCTTCTAACACAAGTTTTTCTCGATAGCTTTTCCTAGTTGTAAACTCCAGAGATAAGTACTAGTTATTTATTAACTTTTGGACGTTGGTCTCCCCCTATGTGGATTTCAGAACCCAATGGTGAAGATGCTGAAGAATAGCCCCAATGCCCCACTAATAAGCGTGTCATAAGAGGCAACTAATTAGAGGTATTTCCTTCTAAGTACATCTGCCTGAAAGGCGAAGAACCAACTGTCTGCATATAAATAGGCCAGATCTAAAAAACAAGTGTGCACAAAATTAAAGTTTTAGAACAAGGTCAAAAGTCTAGAAGTAGACAAAGTGCCAGAACTTACAGCCAGTGAATATTAATAAGAAGAATGACTGGTTTTGTTACAGAACTTGAGTTTTGTGTGCACGTTAATTTGACAGTTAGAAGATCTGACTTATTTGCTTGCAGACTGTTGGTTCTCTGCTATCATGCAGATGCATTCTGATTTCAAAGGAAAAACTCCCAATAATTAACATTTTATGACATGCTTGTTAAGTTGGCGTCTGTGGCTAAGGTGTTGCAAACACCCTTTGTAATGCCGGTTCTATCCCAGGTGCAGGCGGTTTGCCGTGCGTTGGTTTTGATAGTGGTACTGAGAGCTGACCATTCAGAAAGCAATGACAAACTACTGAATGTAAAATTTGCTTAGAAAAACCACAACAGCCAAAAACAATGCTAGAGCTGGTTCTGCAACATCCTGTAAAGGATACACAACTAACTATCCATATCAACATCCCAGCACATCAGTCTTAGACATTTGTGCTCCCTTTTCCAATACGGCAGCAATCCCAGTGTCTACATGCTTTCTGTACCCAGTAGGAGTTAACTGGCAGACCTGATTTCTCTGCCACGAAACCCAGTTTCTGCACGCCTGTCTTTGTTCAATACCCATTTCCAACAGGCGGTTCATTGTCTCTGACTCCTTCGTCTCAACCTCTCAGGAATACAGCACATTCAATATGTCCGCCCTGTCCTAACTACTACAGACATGATACACACGCACACAAAAACTATGTGGATCCACACACCACGTACACATACCAGAAATATCTCTGCCGTTGACCTCCTTGACTGCCATGCCTGCTTGCGTTCTGTTTTTAAACTGAACAAATCCAAATCCCAGTCGCTTTCCTGATTCTGCAGAAGTAAAAGAAATATCATGAGCGTGATACTACTGAAACCAACTGTAATGTAGCTCACAAATATGTGAAGAAATCATTATACTTTACAGTTAAACTCAATAAAAATGACAACAAAATATAAAACCTGCAATTAAACAAGCCAGAACATAATAACATTACTAAATTCAACCCCCACTCCCCAATTTTTTTTTTACAAGCATACCTTTCTTTGGAATATGCACATCAACTACATCTCCATAGTTTCCAAATGTCTTGATGAGTTCCTCCTTAGTGCACTGAAAAGAAGGGAATACGTAAACAATCAATCAAAGCTGTTTTATACATGTATTTATTTAATTATTTACCTCCTTATTAATTTTCAAACTTATTAGTACTTCAAGCAGTCACATTTTTTTAGATGAAATCTGTTCAGTTTGTAGCCAGAGAGAATGGAAACACTGATGTATCGCTAGCATTTAACACAATACATAATAACCTCCAGACTTGGAATAGACACAATGAACACAATACCTGACAATCCCACTTAGATTGGAAATAACTGTTGCTAACATTTAACACAACATACGACAACTTATAGCCTAAGAATGGAAATGATTGTTGCTAACATTCAATACAACACACAACATTCAGGGTAAAAACAGAAATGATTGCCGCCAACGATCAATACAATACATGACACCCTCCAGCCAAAGACTGGAAATGACTGTTGCTAAAACATGACAACCTGGACAAAGACTGGAAATGACTGTTGCCGACACATGACAAACTGGACAAATGCTGGAAATGACTGTTGATAACACATGACAAACTGGACAAATGCAGGAAATGACTGTTGATAACACATGACAAACTGGACAAATGCTGGAAATGACTGTTGCCAACACATGACAAACTCGCCAAAGACTGGAAATGACTGATGTTAACACATGACAAACTGGCCAAACTCTGGAAATGAGGTGCCAACACATGACAAACTGACCAAACTCTGGAAATGAGCTGCCAACACATGACGAACTGACCAAACTCTGGAAATGACTGTTGCCAACACATGAAAAACTCCAGTCTAAGAATGGAAACAAGGATTGTAACAAATTAAAAAAAATCTCCAAATTAGAATTGGACATGCCAAGACAACCTCCATCCAGGCAGCACTGCTGTTAAGAATATTTGTGGCATGTATGTAACAATCTGACATAATTTTCAACACTGACTGACGATGACAGGATACAAACAGGCATTTTCAACAGAAGGCAGACCAAATAGTGCTCTAATATTTAACAATGAACAATCCACATACCCGGAAAGACAGATTTCTAATGATCAGCCGAGCTCGTTTTCCTTCATTCAAAGGATTGGGAGCTTGTTTCTGTCCCTTCACAGGTACTGGGCCTTTCTTCTGCTTCTTAGTCTGCTGATTCTTTTCCTGTTTGATTTCCTGTGTGATGTCTCCATCCTTCTGCTCACTTTCAACACCTTGTGGATGGCCAAACCTCTTTTCTGCAAATATCAAAAATCAGGAAAGATTGCTATGAACAGGAACAACTGTAATGTGTTTACAAATTCATGCAATCGTGTTTTCCATAATTTATTTGGTGAATACTTATCATAAAGAACATGATTTTTTGCCTGGGCTCCTATCTTTATCTTGATGTTAATGCTTTATATATAAATAATATTTAGATTGTCCAATTGTATCGAAGCAGACTTTTTTATCCCTTGTATAATGCTAGCTAGTCAACAACAACAAAAAGTTACGGTACTGACGTGAATTATGAGTATGGTAGAAGTTAGAGGCATTTCTGCAATTGTTTATCATACAGGTGTAAGTCCCTCCACCTCTTAAAATTTTCCATAACATAAATTTTGATTTATCACCATCATGGCTACGTCTAAGTTTGATCTTTAATTCCTTACTAATTTTTTTCAGCGTGCAACATTCTGCATCATCATCATGCAGCAGGTCCTTTGCAGAACGTCGCCTGAACGTCATCACAGTCTGCCTGAAATAAACTGTCTCTTGCCTCATGTACTTTTATACTCAAGGAGTCACCTATATCATGTGCCCCCCTTTGTGTTGGTTGACCCATGCCCCTCTTTACTGGTACCATGTGCCTTCTGCTATAATTTTTTTCAATCCATCGTGGCGCTTGATATGACCAAAAAATTTAGCTTTCAATACAGGATGCTGTTTATTAGCCAATCTTCCTTGATGTTCAGATCTTTCAAGATGTCAGTATTTCTCCTCTTCTTTGTATTAGATATTCTGAGAAGGAATGGTACCAGGAAGGAGGGGCAGGTGACTCCTTAAGTATGAAAGTACGTGAGGCGGGAGAGCTGGCGAGAGACTGAGTCTCTTTTAGGCAGACTGTGATGAGAGCGACGTTCTGCAAAGGACCTACTACATGATGATGATGATGAGTATATTCTTCACATGGCTTTACAAACAAACACAATAGTTCCTGGCTATTTGTGATGTTACATTCAATGGTCGGGCACTGCTTTCAGAATGGTACACTACTACTAAAACACGTGCAGCCGACTTCAAACCCATACATGTGAGATTATGAAATTGTGATCACAACCCCTAGACCACAGACATCGATTTAAAAAAACATTTTTTATTTACCGGCCCATGTGGAACTTTCTATATGACTACTTACTAATCAGAAATATTGAAAAATATGTGACGCATATGCTACAGCTATACGGACACACTTGTCTTAAAAAGACTAGGCAGATTCAGTACCCAAGGAGCTAAACAGAATATATTATCACTGAGTTTGAAAACAACCAGGTCCACACCATTGCTTTGGGACCCACAGGGTCAAAGGAATCAGACCAAAACATGCACACACACTGAGAAAGGAACTCTAGTGAAGTGAAAAAGATAATAAGAACATGTGATAACAAAGGCTGGGGTGACTTAAAATAAGTTCAGTTAGGGTTCTATGCTCCGTAGTGGAACAAAGGACTGAAGAAACAGTATACTGAGATATTTGAGAAAGGTGGTACAAATGACAAGAAGAGACAAAGTTCACAGATAATACGTCAAGATTTTGAAACGCCAGCCTTACAAACTCAAGTGTGTCAGAAACAGTTACGAAGGTTTGGACATGCATGCAGAATGGGAGCAAATTAATATTAGCCACCATGGCAGGCATTGGAGGCTAAGAAGCAGATCTGAGAAGACAACTACCAACAGTCACTGACTAACAGAGGACTGGAATAGAATAAAGCCAGGAAGAAATCTACTGATAGAGAAGTCTGGCGACCTCTCTGGCAAACTTTTACACCCTAAGGTAGAAGAGAAACTAAGTAAGAAAGTAAGAAGAAACAGTATACACAACTGGACTCAACACTTGTTTGGTTACAAGGTAATTATCTGTTACTTTGGTAACAAAAAAAAAAATAACAAAATCCAGATGCTACAGATTCATCTACACAGAAGACAACACCATGAACTCCAACAATCACAAATTATGAACAACAAATTTTAGACTTTTCATCGTATATAAACACAAAAGACTTACTTTTCTCTTTCTTGTTAGCATATACAATATGTACATTCCTGCCCTCAATCTTCTTGACTGTATTGTGTGCTTTTTCTGCATCTTCTCTGTAATAAACAACATACATGACACTGGAATCATGTTCACACCAAAGGGTAAAGCTCTTAACTTACACGGCAATGTGGTCTAATGTCAATGTTTTATCTGGTGATATGTTCCTAAGGGAAGTCCATGTTTTGTAGCAGTTAGATGCTCACCTGCGGATCGGAGGGTCATAGGCTTGGGCACTGACAGTACCAGACTTTTTTTTCTCCAAAATGACCTTGGCTCCCAGGTTGAGCCAGCCTTGAACGGGTACCAGGTGGAGTCCTGGGATGTAAAGGCGGCCGGCATGATGCTGACCACATCCCCCACTAAGTGCCAACTGGTCTATAAAAGATAGGTCTAGCCCTACATGCCTGAAGGTGTGAAAATGTGTTCTTATCGTAACTTTTTCTTTGTATGTTCCTTAGTTTTTGGACCATAGTATGCAAATCACACTAAAGGAGAGACTAGGACCTTACTACGTAATATATCCACACACAAAAACAAAAGTGTGTGCATTGTATTCAACCCTCATAGCGGAGATGGTACAGCACACAAGTTTCCACTCCCTGTGTGGGTTTTGGGGCCCCACTGTAAGGAAACAAAAACAGACCTGCTGCCTCCCCACCAAGCATGTCATGAGAGTCTGAGGGTTTTCCTTTCAAGTCAGAGTGCATCTGCCTGAGCGGCAAAGAACCAACAGTCTGCATAGAAATAAGTCAGATCTGTAAAATGGATGTGCACGTAACACTCAAGTTCTGGAACAAGACTAAAAGTCCAGAGATGGATGAACAACCAGAACTTTCTGTCAGGGTTTACAGCCGGTGATCGCGAAGATGAAGAAAAGTTTTCTTAGAAACTGTACAATATCCCCAGCTATAAATTATACAGGAATACATATTGGGTAAAAATAACATGAGCCTTCCCAGACACTGCCCATATACACACTAGCTCACTTCTGGCTGGTAGTTTCCAAGCCCTGTGACCTTCGCACAAGGTTACGGGGGTGTTCCGCAATGCTGTTGCTATCGCCTGTGGTATATTTCAGCATGCCAGCACTTTTGACACTTCAAAAACAGGGAGATACTGGCTCTAACACAATCCCCCTAGAGAGTGCTGCAACCTATGTCACCGGCATTCTCTTTCTTGGAATGAAAACGTAAATCAAGACATCACAGAAACAGAAAAACAGAGCGAACCTACCCATAACCTTCAGGAAAGTCGACCAGCCCAATTAACTTGTGAATGAAAAGTGACCTACTCTATAACGTGAACCTAACATATATATTCTGTTGCTGGTCACACACTATCACCAAGGGCTGTGTTTCCCATACCTTCCCACTCAAATTACAAGCAAAGAAAGATATACATACAATGTTAAAAAAGTTGGCACTTGTCATGTTTCAATGAAGAAAATACACCCAATCAAGTGCCCCCAAGTCAACCTATCCTGCATCCTATCAGCCCATGTCCAACTGTCCCGAGCCTCTCATTTTCTTTCCCAAGTGTTTCCGTTCTCCCTTTATTTCAAAAATCAGCCCTGTGAGTGTCAGTGCAATGACATTTAAAACATTTAAACAATATTATCATCAGGTTTTTAAAAAACATGTTTGTGCTATCCAGCATACAACTAAACATTCCTCAGTCTGACAGAATGTTTATAGGTTAGTCAACAACACTACAATAAATGTAGGTTTAGACACATAAAGGGTCATCGAAAATGATTGCCGGGATGGTGAATGATTGAAAAAAAAAAAGTTTTTCATGAATACAGGCAGGTGTAGTCTACAAACAGTCTGAGAAGTTTACAGTTCTGGGTGACCCTGTGTGACCATAAGGTTTAGGACGGTATTGAGAAGATAAGAAACATCCAGCACCTTAAAGCTGCAGCAACTGCAACTCTGGGTACGATTCAGAAGACGTGACAAGAGACTGAATACAGTCTAGCCATCACACAGCTAAAATGGGGCCTATATTGAAGGCACTAGTGTAACTTTAAACACTTCTGAACATTTTAAGATGCCACATGCATATATCCATCAAATATTTTTTTTTTATAACAACAGTCTAAAATAAATATTCTCTACTCTTGAAGAATATACTATACACAGAGACTTCAATAAATTTTTAGTTGAAACTGAAGGGATAATCATTAAGCATTCATGTGAATCTCACAAAGAATAATTCAATCAGTAACTTGCTTGTTTTCACAAATATACTAGATTAACTTGAAAGCAAGACGACCAGAAGAACTTGACTGATGAAGTATCTTGCATCTATCAGATTTGCGCAAAATTGTCAACAACACTATCATTAATACTATCACAAATACATATGGAGGGGAGGGGGTGGTGATTGTGGGGAAAAGGGGGGGGGGGGAGCGGTGAAAAGATAAGTTCACAGGTAAAAAAAACAATTAGCAAAAAATTTAATTATAAGCAACAAACTTATTCTGGAAAGATAGAATAGATCAAAACCCCTAATATTAATCCTAGACAACAGCTGCAAACAAGTCGAAGTCACTACAAATTCAATTATGGACTGCAGACAGATTACTGTAAATTTTAAAGCCATGCGCTTGTAGTTAAAAATGGAAAACAGTCTCAAATGTATAGCAACTGCCAAACAGTGAAAGATTAAAAAAAAAAAAAAAAAGCTCTAGGAAACTGGAACTAACCATCCAAGAATGAGTGAGAAATGTTACTATCTTTGGGAGAACATGATCATCCACGTATTAAAAACTATCTTTGTGAGAACACGATCATCCACGTATTAAAAACAACATTAAGCAAATGAAGATCAAATAGCTTGGCATATGCACCTCTGTAATGAGGGGCAGACAAAGTGCATGGAAGTTCATAGCAAAAGCAAATAGATGCCACTTAGTGCAACAAAGTCTAGCATATGATATCACAATGTCTAGTTTGAGAATGGAGGTGGAGGCAGTTACTGCTGCCTTCTGCTGGCTTGAGAATCAGCTGTACACAAACGCCATGATTTTAACTGACCCAAACAGCATGCTGAGAAAGGCGGAGACAGGCATGCTCCATGCAGAGTGGTAAGCATTGCTTGAGAAGTTCCCAGTAGTTAGCGCCCTTTGTATATTTATCCAGGTGATGCTGGTGTGATAGGAAATGAGCAGGCAGAAAGACTGGCTGGTACTGCATCACTTAGTGGTGAAATGATGTATGAAAAGCTGGATGTTGTGAGGGCTCTTTGGGAGTGAGTGAACAGTGCTGAGGCACAAATAGATCCTTATGGTCTGAGGAGAGAATGGGGCTGCGGGGAGTTTCCAGGAAATCTGGCCAATGTTTAACACACAAATAAAAGGCGCGACGGATATACAGACAGTTACTGGTATCATCGAAACTGGAATTCTTAACTTGGTGCTAAAGATGGAGCTCTTATAGAAGTGTACTGAGTTCTCTGATGTGGATTCTTAATTCAACATTTAACCTTGTTAGAATGCAGCAATACCAGTTATCAAAACAGCTGTTACATCTACATAAGAGCAAGAGGACTCAAGATACCCGAGAAGCTGTCCTGATGACATTAAAGATGTAGATTCAATAGAATGACAATAGCCTGTGTCACCCATCAAGCCCACGTGTGGACCGCTAATTATTTCCCCCCAACATTTTTCATGCAGAAAAAGATCAAATTAAAATATCATGCATATTTTCCAGATACTTACAAAAGAGTAAATTTTACATAACCAAATCCTCTGCATTTTCCTGAATCTGAAATATAAATAAAACATGAAAAATATTATTAAGATGAAGAAGAATAGTTACTGAATACACTACAAAAAGTTATGAGAACGGGAGTGACTGAGGTCAAGCTAATAATGAACGGGGAAGTGAACAACAAACACAACAGAAATCAATTCTTTCAGTGGAGCCTTTAATTTTAATTGGCGAAACTCACACCATCAAGGGACAGGGTATCTGATTTTGGTCATCTGTCCCTGCACAATTAATCCCCTTGTTGTTATGTGTGGTTTTTGTGTGGATAAAGACTCCTGCCAAAGAGACTGATTTCTCTTCTGCATTAGGCTTCTTAGGTCACAGTTTAGTTGATTATACGCTCAACTTACCCCCCCCCCCCCCCCCCCTTTTTGTTGATGTAAATTTACAAGTTAAAAAAAAAAAAATTCTGAATTCATAAAATTATAATACTGTCATTGTCATGGCATAATGATTTAATACACAAAGAAATACACAGGAGCATTTGAAACTGAGTTACTGAAAGATTATCAGGACCGATATGAATATCAATGATATTAATATTATCATGGTCAAAAAGAAATGCTGACAAGATAAGTGACATCTATAAAAGATCTGAATATCAAGGAAGGCTGCATCTTGTTTCGGAAACTAAATTACCAATACTAATACTAATACTTTGGCCACATCACAATGTTATAGTCAAACCCCACACCACAGAGTAGAGGAACACTAGCTGAGCTGCAGATAGGAGACACCTTCGGTAGGAAAGTGCAAGAGGCGGGAGATTTGCCGAGAGATCCAGTGGTGTTTTTCAAACAGGGTGATGACAGCGACATTGACATTACTATTACAATGAATAATTTATAATGAACAATGCAAACTGCAAAGGACTTGCTACATCTTCATGGTGATGATGACTAATTAATAAACAATTACAACATCTATATCTTTTCGAAACAGTAATATAAGTTTTATTCATTACAAATGATTATTTTAAAAAATTCTTCAAAGTTCTACAATGTCTATTTACAGACAGACTGAGCCTAGATCAAATTTTTTAAATCAAAATCCACACAACTGACAGTGACACAACACAGTGTCAGAAACAACGACAGATTTTGATCGTCAGCTTAATTTTAATGTGCAAGAAATACTGTTCATTTATTTTAAACTGGTGCCTACCTTTGTCTTTGACAACAAAACACGATTTAATCGGTCCTATGTCAGAAAATACTTTTTCCAGCGATTCATTTGTTGCAGAATATGGTATGTTTCTAACAAACAAAGTCTTCCCATGCTTTTCTTCCGCCATGTTGTTTGGATTTGAAAGGAAACGGAATTTTGGAACATTTGTAATTTTCAGAGAAGGAAAGGTAGATAGTTAGTTAATTAGTTAATTAGTTAGTTGGGTTATCATCATTGCACTCCGGAATGTCTATAGGTGCTCAGATCCTCCCCTCGGTATGAACCTCAACGTTCGATAGCTAATAGTACCAGTTCTATGTTGATCAACAAGTCGTCTGGTGTGCGTCTCGTTTTTTGCTATGCCGATCTTAATTCCCAAGTCTGCCATTCTGGCGAGTGATGTGGATTTACTTCTTCCAAAGTCCTATATCCTTCCCATTTCTCTGAGGGCATTAATAATATCAGCATGATCCACAGGCTGACCGTCGGTAGTGATAGCGGATCCAGCCAACCCATCAGCTCTTTCATTTCCATCGACGCCTGCGTGTCCCGGAACAAAAATAAAGGTGACTCCACGCACAGTGGACTTCTGTAATGATTCAAGTCATTGTCTTCGCACCGAACCTGCCGGAACCCTCCGGATCATACTCATTGAATCACTGAGTATACATACGTGTGTGTATTTTTGTGTTTTGAGCCAGGCAAACGCTTGCGTTACTGCCATCACCTCCATCGTCATGCTGCTGGTTGTCATGGAGAAGGCGCCGTTGGCTTCTTTGACTGATCTGCCCGCTGAAAGGTAGAGCTGTGAGGAGGTGTCAGAGGTTGATAGTTGATAGGCCCTGCCACCGCCTTCCCTAGAAAAGCTAGAGCCCGGTCATGGCCCTGCATTCCTCCCTACATGGTCTTTCCATTGTAGGAGGTTGGTTATCTGTTAATCCTTGTCGCAGGGAGGAAAACTGCTTACTGATTTAACTATACAAATTAACCTCACCACACTTGAGACCATAGGCGGCGGAACCTGGAAGCTCAGGTCCCTAGAGCCCCCAATAATTAGCGTAACCTCTTTGATAATTGCTCTCTTCTATAAAGATTTTTCTTGCAGTATAAAAGAATTACAACACATCTTTCACAGTAAAGACAGGTGTAACACAGGGATGTATTATGTCATCCATTTTTTTTAACCTTGGGATCGAGTGGATACTAAAGAAAACAATAGACAAGACACAGAGAGGCATACGATGAACTCTATTCACCATACTTGAGGACCTCGATTTTACAGATGAAAAAGCACTTCTATCACATAAACAAGAGAAGAGTAGCAGACTACACAGCACAGCAGAAACGTCGGGACTGAGAATAAATACAAGGAAAACTAAGATCATGACAAAAAATGCAAATCAACAACCAGTCACCATTAATAACGAAACATCTACAAATGTAGAACTGTTTATACATCTTGGCAGTGTCGTGTCCCTAAAAGGAGGGACAGAGGAAGACATAGAATCAGGCTTGAGCAAAGCTAAAGCCACTTTTGGAAGAATGAAGCAAATCTGGAAATCCAGCAGTTACTTGAGAGGAACAAAACTCCAGCTCTACAAGAGCATCATTTTACCAGTTCTTCTTTATATGACAGAATGTGGCGCGGTGATTTCGGTCACAGGCATGAGGGGAAGTTAAGTCTGATGTGATGTGTATAAGGAGATATTCCGTACCCCACTCGGGCGCCAGTCCTTTACTGTTCTGGTTTTACGGAACCTCATGCAAGACTCCTGCTGCACGTCCCCGTCGTGCGCCACGGATAATGTCTCAAATGAGCATTAACAGAGTTGGCAGGGGATCTCGGTCCCTAGAGGTGTAGTGTCCTTTCTGGCTCTCATCAGCCCGTCCCCAAACGCATGGGTGAAAAGTCTATCAAAACTCATTCGGAACATGAGTAAGGATTGCTTGCCAAATGTACCATCAAATGACAACTCTCGGTTAAAAGTCTGGAGCGAAGGGAAAACTGTGCTGCTGAGACTCAACCCTTGACCGAGAGATTTACCCGCAGCCAAGACGGGTAACATCTCTTGTGGGTGAATTATCGCAGCAAGATCCTACGTACGTACATCCTCTGTCAATCCTCAGCGTCGTCGTCACCGCGCTGAGGTACACCACGGCAGCAACTTTTAATCTGCTGGCTAGGAAATAATGTATGACAAAGTTAAATCCTACGGCACACATGCAAGCTCAAAGTCCGACGACCATAATTCGTACCGATTAGGAAAAGTCCAAATGTCTGTATCCACTGGTCCCACTCGCCCGAGTGTTGGGACCGAACAGGCAAAGCCACGCCTGACGCATGTTGCTTCCCCATTCTGTCGTGCCAAGGGCACAGTTGAAACAACGTTAAAGGTGTCTAACGTACGATGAAAAAAGAATGTACCTATTTGTGTGGCCACAAAACTCCTGGACCTGCGGGCTGCTTCCCGCTGATCTCCGGAGAGCGCAGCCCTGTAGCGCTGGAAGCTCAACACACGGTTGTGAGGTTAAGCAGTCATGGGCAGGACGTGACGATTCCTTGGGTGAGCCCAGAACCAGAGCATCATGTGTCGGCTCTGCATTTATGGAAGCCTCCTTGGATGGCGGGGAATGCCCATGATCTGCCCCTGCCTTCCCTTGAGGGCTGACAATTCTACCTAGGGCTGCCTTCGGAGGATTTTCCGGGGGCCACACCTGTTAAAGGTCAGAGAACACCACACAAATGAGGCAACATCTCGACCCACACAAAACAATGGCCACAGTCAACCTAGAAATAGGCATGACGTCTTCCCTCGAAGTCGGAGTACATCTGCCGGTGAGTCAGGGAACGAGGACTGCAAACAAATAAGACAGTAAAACGGATGTACACGCAAAACTCAGGTCGAGGTAAAAGCCAAAAGTCCATTTGGACGAACAACCGCGACTTACCGCCGGAATTCACAGCCGGTGAACAAGAAGAAGAAGAAGAAGAAGAATATGACAGAATGCTGGAGAATGACCAGAAAGGATGCTCACAAGCTATCCACCTTCCACCACACATGTCTACGTAGAATTATCAACATTTTCTGGTCAGATACAATCTCAAACACAAACTACTTTAAGTCACAAATCTTGAAACTCTAGAAAGTATAATAACCAAGAGAAGATTAATATAGCTTGGCCACATTATGAGAATGAATACTGATATATCTGCTAAAACTGCTCTCACTTGGACACAAGCGGAAAAGAGAAAGAAGCGGAGCAAAAAATAAATAAAAAATATGGCGACGAACGATGGAAAGTGCTACATCTCTGTTTTGGGAAATGAGCGGGTAGATAGGCTGGCCGGTTCTGCACCACTTGGTGGTGAACTGATGTATGACAAGTCATATGTTGTGAAGGCCCTTTGGGAGCGAGTGAACAGTACCCAGGCACTAATAGATCATTACTGTCTGAAAAGAAAGGTGCTGCGTGGAGTTACCAGGATATGTGGACGACGTTCAACACTCAAGAAAATAATCAAGTAACAGAAAGTGTATTGATGGGCACTCATAGAAAGAAGCAGAAAGATAGAAGAACACACTAGACAACATTTAAATCGAATCTATAGTTACCGTGCCGGGAATTGAACCTGACACCTCCAGACGGCGTTTACCCCTCGCCATGGAACATGGTCAACTCGGCACCCCCCCCCCCCCCCCCCCCCCCAAAAAAAAAAAGGTGTCTTATTGACCTTGTCTATTGTGCAGCTTGAAATCCACAACTATAGAATACGGACATAATTCATTTCAAACCATTGAAATGGCACCATAGGTTACAGAAATGTATATTAACGAAGCAAATGTCGAACACTCAAGAAAAGGGCGAGACGGATAAACTATCAGACATTTACCGGTGTCATCGGAATTGGAACTCATATGTGGGTGTCCCGAATGCTGTGATGTCGGTTTTTAATACAACAATCAACATTCAACATTCTTGAAACCAGCAGTATACAAAAATAATAAACTGTCTACAGGGCAGCCAAGAGAATTTTTAGGCCCCTGAACAAGGCCTCCAGCTGCCCCCCCCCCCCTCGGCCCCTCCGCCACCTACACTTGGACACATAAATCAAAAATGTCATAACTGCACATTAATTAATTACCCTCAGACGTTCTTAAAATATATTATAAAGATTTGCATTGTATGTGTTGGCTATTTACCCCGTGGTATAATCAGTGGGTATAATCCGTGTGCCACGGATACAGCATCTACACCTTACACCTTTTGCTGCGGAAGACGGGGCATCTATGGGTATGCCCGGTGTGCTGTGATCTGGATTTTTAAATCAGTAACTAGTACCCCCTTGTAGGAAAAATCTTGTTAATTTTAGAATGGTTACACTGACACACACACACACGCCCCACACACACACGCACGCCACACACACACACGCACGCACGCGCACGCACACACGCGCACACGCACACACGCGCACACACACACACAATATTTCGCAAGATAACCAGAGTGACAATTTTATGTAGACATAAAACTAAAACGGTCATTACAAGCAGAGGTTATACCTTCCCCGATTTGCCATGCGCGTGTGAAGGTGTATACGACAAGTTATAAACAAGGTAATTGTTACTTGGTCTAGATGAGAAGGGTGCGATGGGACAGGAGAAGGAGTAGAAGGAGGATGAGGAAGCAGAAAAAGAAGAAGGAGAAGGGCAGACAGAGAAATACAGGAAGAAGGAGAAAAAATAAGAAAGAGAGCAAGGAGGATAGTAAGAAAGAAGAATTGGAATATGGGAACAAGAAAGGGGAAGAATAAAAAATATGGAGAACAAAATTATAATAATAATAAGACGGAAGAAGAGGAGGAGATTAAGAAGAAGAAGCGGAAAAAGAAGAAAGAGGAGGGGGGGACAGGAGGAGGAGGAAGATTAAGACTTCTCCGCCCATCTGTCGTCTGTCTTCTCATTAGCACACACAAGCACGATGTTCACAGACATGAGCGGCTGGTTCCATTCGTACCTGTGCGCTGGCTTTGATCTCATGTACAACCATGGAGCTGATACAACATTGCTCATACAAACAGGTGTTTTAGCGATGCTCCGGGTGAGCAGAGACAGCTCGTTTAGG